TTTTTCGAATATTCAATCGTTCTAATGTATATGCAGTTTTAAAAATGCAGCTACTACAGTAATTTCATTATATTTGTTATATTCATCTAATTTAAAAACTGAATTTTCAGTTTGCTATACTAATAAAACCATTCATGAAAATTTTTGTAAACAAAAAAGCTTTCTTCAAAAGCCTACTAAGGAAACTGAAATTAAATAAAACCAGTTAGGTAAATACTTTCAAAGTTAAGTGGATATAAAAAACAAACAAATGGAACTCAGGAGTAGTAAAGGCGATATCCTGAATTAAATCAATTGAAGACGGTATAAAATATTGACATTAAATAACTAAAACAAAAGAATTTAATTGGCAGAAAAAGGAACTTAGGATGCAATAGTAGAGTCACAATAAAATCTTGGCGAGAGAGATTTTACCGTTACTCGAATAGATGAAGAAAGTAGCTGTTAAAAAGGCTGAGTTTGATTTAATTTGCAAAATAAGATGGTTTCTCTTTTGTTCCATTTTCTACACCTGCAATACAATACAAAAAGCTGAGCGGCTTCAAAACATCACTTACCAGCATTGATCTGATTTAAACATATTAATCTATTGGATGCCAGTTTCAAGGGATATATGAAAAATGATGATCGCAAAACTAAAATCTCCCAAAGATGATCAGCTAAGTGACGTATTATACAGAAACTACGAGGGGATCAGAAATAAGGGAACTTTCAGCTTTTAACTCGGATAGTTTTATTTCGGTGTCAAAGTGTTACTGAATAAAACAAAATCAAATTTTTATGTAGAATAATATGGTACCACAATTTATTTCATTGGTTTCTCTTCAGCTGAGTACAACTTGAAATAATTAATTCAGTATATGTGCGGAGAAATTTTAAGGTGTTTGCGAAAGTTCAGTTCCCCCAATGTAAATGAAACCTCAGATACATGTAAATTTGAATACACAATTTGAGTACCCTTGTAAAGATATCTTCTGGCTTTTGATTGCACCAAATAGCATATTATTCGAAAGAATTTCCAAATTGTTCATCCTATATCCGTATGTATTGGAATTATTTTTACTTTTCAGAAAGAAGGATACACTTTTTACTCTTTGAGCATGTACCAAAACGTCTACATCTGAAGCGAACAAATGCTGTCAGTAATGCTATTGTGATTCGTCGCTCTCATACGAATCATGGGGTGGGCACACTTAAATCCTTTAAGATTATCAGTAGACTACTTAATTCAACTCGCCTCAATTGTGCACAGGTAATCATTGACAAATGTTTAGAAACCAATTTATGTATTCGGAAAGAAGTAGTTATCAGTTTTTTCTTATCCTCGTAACTCGATGTCTTTACTATTCCCTTTACTTAACTACTTAATCGTTTAACCTCTTTTCCTTTTGAACAGACTGTATAAGATATGTTGTTAAGTCATCCAAGAGACAGTTTTATGAGTGAAGTAGTATTCGGACACATTTCTTTCATATATATTTGGGTAACAGTAAACAATAGGCACCAAAGTCAAATGACCTTGATTTGACCAATCAGATAGCTCAGCATTACAAATGGTTGCTAGTCATAATCCCCGTTGAAAATGTCTCCTAGATTTGGTTTTTGACTTCTCTGTGGAAAATGTGTTGATAGGGAGAAATAAAACATGCATATGTGGAGGGATAATGACTCTGTAAAAGTATTGCCGGACTATTGATGGTTACACATTCAGATGCAACCACTTTATATGAGGAAGTCTGTATAAGTTGGTAAGTCGTACATAATTGGTGATTTTTTAGACACTTTCTTCTCGAAATTAAAGCTCTCCCTTAGTAATATATTGCGTATATGCAACCAGTATCTGCTACAGCTGGAGAAATAATGAAAACATTGGTTTGATATGTCTATAACCAATTCTATGAGAATCTGGGACCAGTTTTTACAGCATATTAAAGATATACACCCTATATGATTCATTTTTATTACATATATATCGCAGATACACTTCTTTGTAAATTAAGTACACTTTTCACCTAGAAGAAACTGATTGGCTGTTTCAAGATCTTCTGAAGTTGGTGTCTATTTTTTACTGTTGCCTATATTTGAATAGCCTACCAAAATATTTTATACCATTAGCACCCACAGTGTAATTTTGCTTGTTTTTCGCTTGTGCGATGTCAACTGAACCCACCAAATTTATCCACAACTTACTAGCTACTCATCATCTATTTATTCACCTCTTGCTTTCGATTATGCAACATCCTTTCCATTGTACTCAAACACTTAATACTTCTCTGCTACCTTTTGTGTGGACTTGAACCTCTTGTGTGTATAAGTTATACAAGTGTAATTTCTCAGTTCTACTGTTAACTGACATCATGTCACGTTTGCAAGTGCATTAAGATTTCTTTGTAAATATATATACCTAAATAATTTTTTGTCAGATGTACACAATGGAAGAGAAACAGACAAAATAAATGACGGTACCATATTATTCTGCACAAACTGCTGTTTGGACTAAATTCTAATTCACAAAGGGGAATAAGTGTATGAGAAAAAGTGATATTATTGTATTGACGTCAATAAAACTTAATAAGTGCGTAAATTTAAATTGTTACACTGGAGGACAGTAATAAATTAATCTTCATCGATTCTATTGCTATCTGATTTTTGTTTTTCCAATCTAACTTAAGAAATTCAATAAAACTGCTTGTTATGCTGAATTACTTATTAGAATATATACATAAACATAGAACTATGAATAATAATTGCGCTATTTAAATTTATTTTGACATATTCTAAAATGGAGCTTTTCATAAATAAATTTATTAGATATCTTATAAATTGATAGGCATAAAAATGATTTAGGCAATTATTATCTAGAGCAGCTATGTTATTGCATGTTTTGTTATTAACAAAAGAAATTAAATAGCAAGGAAATTCTGGTTAGTACTCATTGAGAGGGAAGAAAAGGACTTAAGAATATTTGTTAATCTAAACTTGAGTTTTAAACACTGAAGTATAGTCATAAACAGAGATGAAATCAACAACAGAGTAAATAGTGGAATAAAAACTTTTCTGTATTCCTTAAAAGCCTCTGAGTACGACAGACGATTGAAACGTTTATTTATTCTCTTATGTGGTGGTTAATATTTTTGGCTTTATATTCTAATACGCCAAAAACAATGTTCAAGATAAGTTCCAGAATGATATAAAAAGATCACTTTTGCATCACCCCTCCTGTATTCACATGTATTGTTACTCTTGTTGCATTTCAAAGTCAATAGCCATTGCTTTGAACACTATTTGATAAGCTTTAAGTTACTGGAGATGTGTATTATTATTATTTCCTTACGTTCCCAGTGGAACATAGGGCTTCAAGCTAGAGCCTTGAAGTTTCTGTAGCAGTGGTGATTATTTTTACAGGATGGGGTTGCTAGCCTCATGCACAACCTTCCCTCTTTACCAGTTTTACTACTGGCTTATCGAGGTAAAGGAGTGCGTTGGCCGGGGATCGAATCCCGGACTACATGTGTGGTGGGCGAGCGTCCTAACCGCTGTGCCACCGACGCACGGAGATGTGTATGATAGGTTTAAATTTCTAGTCACCCCGAGAACAAGTGATTTTTTATTTTTAACTCAAATAGGTTTCGATTCTTTTGAAATCGAGTTTCATGTATATTCTGTGTCGCTTGAACACATCTAATCTAAATGTTAGAATGATAAGTCTTTTATGACACATAATGATGGTCTTTCTGCAGGCCTAATCAACACTGGACATTGAATTTCAGCTCACTGTTTCACTAATTACTATTTTGTCAAGCTTTCTGACATGACAGTCCCGTATTCAACCTTATACTACACTGTGGATTTTCAGTTTAGAGTTATCTTCTTAATGGGAACTGTTAGCGGGATCACCTTTAAATTCAAGGTTCCTATGCAGCAAATAATATATCTATATGTGTACAGATAAAGAACGAACTTCATACTGTAACTAAGATAAAATTAGCGAACTAGTAACCATTCTGAATAATGGTTACACTACGCGGTGAACAGATAAAAGTTCTGTGTGTTAACCCCTAGGCTCTTAATGTGATTGTATGCAAAAGATATAACTGTCAGAAATGAAGGTTATGATGCAAACCACAATATCCATCGAAATGTATCACAGTAAGATCATACAGACGTTTATCGCTAAATCATTCGTTTCCATGTGAGATAAGGTGACTCAATGCATTTTTCGCAACAGAACAAAACACACTTCCAGGATTCCATTTCTAGCCAATATCAAATAAAAGATGTCATAATTTAGTGGCAGGCAGATGCTGAAAACTGTGTTACATCTCATCTACAGTGATACAAAGACATATCCAAACATCCTGGTGAACTGAGTGGATTTCAGGTTTTAAAATATACATGAAGGGACAATGCACGTGAAGTATACACTAACTAACCTTTCCAAAACTAGATGGAAGGAGTGATTAAAATTCTGGTACTATGCAACTGAGATCTACTTAATCAGGTCACAACAATGTAAAAGAATAACCCAAGAAAAACTAAATAAGTCAGGAAGATAGTAATTTAAATTGTCTTACCGCTTCTCTGCAATTGGTTGAAAAATATATTTACCTGGATAAAATGTTACCCAATCAGCAAACAGTTCCCAATCTCGCCCATGATAAGTGGACAGACACATTGCATACATACATTTGAGGCACACAATCCCGATTTATGTGCAAATCCCTACCAAACCAAGCGACAGTGTCTACAGCTGAGGTTTTGCTATACAATAAAATGTGATGTCAAATGTGAAGTAAGGTAAATCACAAACTTATGGTCGGTCTTTTGATGAATATTCCCTGGATCTGGGGCTATCTATACGTCGTTGTGACAAATAACATCCTGAAAGGAATATTGTCTGATAACTTTTATATCTTATACAAATGTAGGCTATAAATAATTTCCTAAAACTTACTGCTCATAAACTGATATTTTGTGTTGAACAACTATCCATCAGGCAAATGCCTTCAAATTCCACATTTCTTAGAAGCAGTTATAAAGATGTTTTAGAGTCCTTCTGCCGATGGACTAGTGTACGTGGATTACAGCATCTTGTACGTGCAGAGCATCCAGTTCTACGTACAATCTGGGCGGTATTTGTTGCTCTAATGTGTTTCGCTAACATTGGCTTGGTCACCATGTTGCTAATACATTATTATCAGTTTAATACAATTGAAAATATACGCACCCTTAGAGGAATTCAAGTGGAATTTCCCCATATTACTTTGTGTAATGTTGATCCAGTCAATTCATATCGTGTATTCTGTCTACAGAATCCTAAATCAAAAGGTTGTAATATCAAATCTAAATATTCTAATATTTTAAAGAAATATCAAGAAGCCAACGGATATTTCAAGGCATACAAAGATTCGGCTATCTGGCATAAACTAGAAGATCCAAGTATGGTTGCAATATTTTACCAATTGATCGGTATGGAGGCAGCAACACAAATCGGTCACCAAATTGATGATTTTATTCTTCCCATGTTTTGTGAAGTGACAACAAGAGAGAAAGGTGGAATAATGGTGAAAAGGAAATGTGAAGAAGCAGGCGTTCATGGCTTACATTTAATCACATATAAATACTTTAACTGTTATACACTATCAATGGATGATAAGCATATTAGTCATAATGCTGTTCGATTATCCATAATTCTATATCTAGATGAAGAGGAAGATTTAAACTGTCGACCATATTGTACACATGAATTCACTGAATGGGCTGGTGGTAAAATCATCGTCCATTCAGCTGGTTCATATCCAGATATTGAAGCATCTGGTATGAATCTACTTCCTGGTGCATCAAATCAAATCCTTATTGATGACATGAGTCGTATTGAGAAAAAAAATATGGAATCGAAACCTTGTGAGAATAATGCAAGAAATCTTTCCATAGTTTATTTTGACCATGCTGAACACAAATTTAGTCAACGAATTATGAGTTACACGGATACATTATGTATACAACTGTTATCACAAAGAGCTACAATGGAAGAATGTCACTGTATTGATTTTCTAATGCCTATACCAGGTACACATATGAATCTAGTTAATCAGCTACCATTTTGTGGCAATCTATCGCGTATCAACGTGAATGAGAGTCTTGCGTGCAGTCAACAGGTTAGACAAAGAAATTCAAAACACTTTCACCACTTATGTCCCATTCCATGTGTTCAAATGCAATACAACTATGAGTTAACACAATTAAGATGGCCACAGAAACCACGTATTTTAAATTATTATGCTCAGTTAAAAGATCGTATTGACTATAACCAAAAGTTTTCAATTTACGAAAAAATTGAAGAAATCTCCGTAACTAATGCAACACAGGCGTTAACTATGCTTCAGCATACAGATATATTTGAAAAGAATTTCTTACAAGTCGACGTTAATCGTCCGAATTTCGATACACTAATTTCCTATCGAGAGAATGAAGAATACAGTTTACCAACTTTATTAAGTCAAATTGGTGGTATTTGTAGTATATTTCTTAGTTTCACTTGTGTTACAGTATTAGAATTAATTGAGTTATTCTTTCGTTTAATTATTATTGCATGTCCTAAATTTTTAGCCTTTTCAAAAAATTCACTACATTACATTAACAAGAAAACATTTAAATTCGGATATAATGCTACTACTGAAAATACAAATAACAGTAGTAGAATCACTGATAGACACAACAGAAAGATATCAAATTCTGTAAATATAAAACATGAAAAGGACAAATTTTGTAATGATATTTCTTGTTATGAAATTAAGAATACCTCAAATTATGACTGTGAAATAGACTATTTAAGAGAAAATCTATTATCTACCAACATTAATGACGTTGGTAACAAACGTAAATCTATGCTACATTCAGAAGTGGATTTACCGAATTATAAGATTAACAAATGTATGCCTAACAGTTTTATACAAATACATAAACCGGATGATAAGTGTATTCTGTATATACCAAAGATAAATTTAATTAATTCAAAGAATGTAAATACTATTCATATGATCAATGAGAATAATCATGCACCTAATGACTCTTCTATCAATAAATCACACGACAGACATTTATACACAGAAAATGACACAATCTTATATAATTTTGTAAATAAAAACAATGAATCTCAGAACGACATTTTGTCGAATAATTGTATTGTTCATAAATTGAATAAGTGTAGAAATTCACTGAAACAAATTCCTAGATCAGTTTCCCTTCCAGATTATGTTAATCTTGTAGATATTATGAGCGATAACAGTCATAATAATATTAGTTCTCATAATGATGTATTTATTTCTCGATGACGTCAAACCATTTCATAATCATACATTTATACATTTGTATATTCATGCATATATCTCACATAAATAAAAACAATTCTCCTCTTTATGAGAGTATAATTCATGATATTATGAATAAGTCATTAGGAGTATTCAGTATGCCGCATCATAAATGATTCTCAATGGTGACTATTGACATATCTCAAAACTAATTACGACAATCCAGTTACAGAGTTTCAAGTATCATCAAACAAGAATCTCAGGTGATTTTTCTCTAATGCAGGATTGCAGGCACCCTGGAAATGTCAGTGTGCGCTTATGCCGATAATAAAATCATCATATGAGACTGTTTGATACATGTACATACATAAATATATGTATACATACGTAGGTGGACTAAAGTCATACTAAATAATTTATTTAGTTTGCTTTCCTATTTCATGTTTGTTCTTATGCATCCATTTTTATTGTTGAGAATAGAAGCTATTGAGTCTGTAAAATATAGAAAAAAAATACTCAGTCAATTGTCTTTATTTCTCTACTTCATGAGGACTATACGTCGCTTTTTGTACAGAAGATTAGACTTACAATGGAACATTACGTTTTTTCCTCTAGTAAGTTACTATACCACATCATATATATATATATATGTGCCAACAAGTGAATGTTTTGAATAAAAGCATATCATCAGTGAAGAGGATTTATTTTCTAGAATTACCTTTATACTTTTGTTAGATAAAGAAAAATGTATTATTGTTCTCATAAAAGTGTAGATTAACACTTATTTAACCCTTCTTCTTCAGTTTTCAGAGTGATGAAGCAGAAACTATTTCGTTCACTTGTCATACGATATGATTTGATATAGATTTCAGTTGAAAATTTATTTGTTCCAGGTTAGAACATGGATTGATATCAGTTAGAGAACCATTGAAAACCAGAGAGTACTGCCAGACAGCTGTTTTATCCTGGTGTAGGACTCATTGGCAGTACGCACCAACCACCAGAGTTCGAAACCAGGACCTTCCGGTTACAAGGCGAGCTCGTAGACGATTAAGCCACTGTGACCCGATTCAGTGGCCAGTGCATGAATTCTAACTTCTACCGATTCGTGATGTTAGCGTGACCAGCAACAAATGTCATCGGCGGGAACTCTATCCTCTCTCCCGACTGGATGGACCCCACTGGTCTAACCTGAAACAAATAGAATCCCTACAGACTAATTCTTGAAATTTTATTCTAAATTTTATGACAGGCGTTCAGTCGCAGCCACAACTACAAGGATAAATATGTTATTAGTCAATAATACGTTAGAAATATATTGCATGGGTATATTTAATTTGTTCATATAGTAAGTAAACAACCTTCCCACTGACAGTACACTTCAACCCATGTTAATCTCCAGTGCCTGTGAGTCACTTACTGGTAGATAAAAATATCTATCCTAAATTTCTGCCTATGATTCTTCCGTGAATGTTCTTTCTGAGAAAGAAATTTCAAATCACAAGCCTAAGAGAAACTACTGAAAATGTGTTCTGATACATGTGTGAACTATACTTTCTATTCATGGGAAATTCCCATTAGAACACGGAGAAAGTGAAAAAGGGGATCCAGTGAGGAGACTGGTTTTAACGAATTTATTATCAAGCTGTACAATCGTGTATATATATATATATATATTATAGGAAATAATGTGAATCGCAACAAAATATTTCTGACGATAAGCATGTTCAACTAAACATTAGGTGACAAATTAGTTTATGCAATTTAGAAATAATAATAATAATTTGCTTTATTCCAGAAACAGTACTAGTGGTACAGTGTGGAATTTTCAGCACATATTTACAATATTTGCATCTAATTTTACAGACATTTAAAAGGTGTATTTAACAACAAAAAAAAAGTAAATCTAAAGACACCAACAGCAAAAAACAGGAAAAACAGGATGAACACAAAAATAATTATAAATGCGAAAAGATACCAAGAAGTAGAAAGGAAAATACACGTAATATAATAATAATTCAGTATTGGGTAGTGGAAGCTATGATATGATTATGCATAGTGACAGTAAAGCTGTAGTCATACAAGAAGTTATGAAATGATATTTAAGAATGTTTATCGCCAAGATGGTCAGTTAATTTGGTTGAAACAACTCTAAACAATCATAAAATAACATTTCAGGGTTGTTGTTTTGTTTTTTATTGTCAGGAAAGGGTTGTTTAATTAAAAAGACAAATAGTCAACTAAAACGTACAAAACAGGGTTAGAATTTTGACCAGATAATATTGCAAAGTATCATAGTGAATTATATAAATCAAAGGTGCAAGTGAGATAATAATGGAAATTGTTCAAAGTAAAGAAAATACATAACTACAATCAATTTCTGTAAAATTATCTGTAGTGCGAAGACTAACCTGGAAAATTATTACTATCCACTCATCTTATTCAAGTGTTGGTTGTAGGGATTTGATTGATTGATTACAGGATTTCATCATGAGCTGACATCAGTTGGAGAAACAATGGAAAACCTAGGAGTACTGGAAAACTGCTTCGTCCTAGCTTGGGACTCTTCATCAGTTCGCACCTGAATTGGCAGAAGTTGAATTTCTTGGACCATTGGGTCAGGTCTCAGTGGCTTAATGGTCTACGAGCTCGCCTTGTAACCAGAAGGTCCTGGGTTTGAATCCTGGTGGTGGGTGAGTACTGTGAAGAGTCCCACACCAGGATGAAACAGCTGTCCAGTACTCTCTGGTTTTCAATGGTTCTCTAACCGATGTCAGTTCATGATGAAATCCTGTAATCATCTTTATTCGGAAAGCTATGTCTAGCGAGACAGAAAAGCCAGAGTTATGCAAACAGAAAAAGGTTGTTCAACCGCTCCGTTCTCGTGGCAGTAATATATCCGTGATAAATAATTATAGTCCCCGTTTCCATTCTGGCCGTATTTACTTCTCATTTTGTGTATTCACTCTGTATGTCTGTTCATCATTATTTCACCTGGTATTATTATCTCCACTTTGTATAATTTCTGATATTAATTCACTTGACACCGTTTATTTATTTAATTCATTATACTTTATTTGCAATATCATCCTATCAAAATCTTCACCTTGTTATTTGACTTTTTAGTTGTCCACCAATCTTATTAATTCAGCAACACTTTGCAAGATTTATAAATTGCATAACCTACCTTGTCGCTTGTCAAACATGCATTTAATCACAAGTATTTTTTTCGCAGTTTCCACTATTATATCAAAAAAATATTTATACAGTTGCACAGCTTGATAATAAATATGCTTTCCGCCCCTGTACTTGACCTATGTTTGCATAACTTAAAAACGTTTTTTGAGAAGAAAATGCCTTCATCCATGAATAAGTTCATTTCAAGGTTTTATACTGAATACTGTAGAAAAAGAGATGCATAGGGTTGGTTAGAAAATTCAATACGACGTTAAAAAATAGTGTTGTGTCATTAATTATAACATTGGAATTTTATTTCATTGTTAATAGGACCTATTATCATCAAAATCATCACCTGAAACCATTCGGTAATTTGCAAAGTCTGTGTGCTGTATTGTGAATTTGGTCATATTATGACTAACAGGTTTTCAAATGAATGAAGAAAGGAAAGTTGACTGTACTTCCAACTACGTTGAGTAGTCAGACAGTAGTAACTGTTAGCCAAATTAAAGCAGAATGAACTTTCACCTTGAACTGTGTAATTTTCAAATGGCAAATTTAAATTCAAAGTTTACTTCAAGTTATGTTTTACTATATTCAGATATCTTTTCATTTAATATCTGTAGTGTATTTTCTATTCTCTGTAAATGAAATTTAGACTCTTGGTGTCACTGGAATTCATGACTCAAGTTTCGTTCCTTTTATAACTCATTATCTGAGATCACAGCAATCTCAGTAAGCAGAAGTTTTGAAAGAATAAAATACGCACCCTAGATCATTGTGCTGGCTAATGTCGAATCAATAATATAGTGATAAAGTTCACGGCATTATCGAAACATTTCTTTATGCAAACCATATGTCAAAATGTGAGTTAATGATTTACTTCGGTAAAATCAACAAAGAAAAAATAAAAGTACAAACAAATACAAACTTTATTCATTTTCCGAAATTCACAAATGTTCATTATTCTTTTTTATAAATACTTGTTATTTACTTTAGCCTTAAGTATAAACAGTAAAAAAAATTCACTCATGGTAAATAAACGTGCGTAAAAACATTAAGAGAAATTATTTGCGCAGTTAATCCATCCTCAGAAATATTTACTAATGAATCAAAATCTCTTTCTATACACTCTGGAAAACACACTGACAGCAAAATTGTTAGAGTTAGTTGCTTAAAATGTCTCTTCATTCAAATTTATTCCCCTTAATGAATTTGAATAAAGCAAGAACAACAGCTTTTGCAGAATAAAATGGTACCATCATTTATTTCGTTGGCTTCTCATCAGCTGCTTACAGCCCAAAGTCATTACTAAGTATATCTACAGAAACAATTTTAACATACTTGCACAGTCCGATTTTCTGAACATGTACCAACAAATGCTGTAAACAGTGCCATCGCCAGGCATCTCCTTGACACGGGTCATGGGTGGACGTCGCAAGGTCATCCAAAATTTTCAATAGGCAAAAGAGTTCAATTCTCCTCAAGTTTGCTGAAGTCGTCTCCATCAAGTGCCTGAAACGTGATTTATGCATTCAGAAAGAAGCAGTTATCAGTCTTTCTTTGCCCTGGTAAATGGATATTTTCATCTCTCTTTCATCTGATTACGAAATGCCGAAAGTTTCCACTGCGTGTGATCATTATTGTTTGGGATAAAGTGTTTATTACTATTACATATATATTATTATATGCATAAATTGATTGATTTTTGTTTAAAAATGAACTCTGTGCAAATATGTTAAAACTGTCCCTTTAGATACACTTAATGGTGACTTTGGGTTGTAAGCAGCTGATGAGAAACCAACGAAATAAATGATGGTACCATTTTATTCTGCGAAAACTGTTGTTCAAATTAAAAAGTATCTGTTTGGATTAGGTTATCAGTAAGCAATATCTGAAGCTAATTAAAGCGTGGAGGATTTGTTTGTATTCGGTCGATTATCAGTTTCCTGACACTTTGCTTATCTAGAAGTGAATTTTGTGCAAAGTAAAACAGGTTTTTACTGACCACCTGTTGATAGTGACTGTATAACAGATTTTAATGAATTATTGTAGCTCAATGAGAACGTTTTTGACTTCTTGTTCTGTTGTAAGTGCTAAAACTGCCTCAGAACCTTCAAAATTATCATAATTAGACATCAATTCATCTACATCTACTTATGATGAAATGTAATCATTTAATCGTCAGAATCCTTGTTTTTTTTACGCAAAATTAGCTAATGATAATGAAAAAAAAAATCATTCCATAGATTAATTTCGTTTTTAACGTATCATATTTCACCTGATAATCTAAACTGATTTATCGATAATGAAAGAAGGTGAATTTTAATACTTTAAATGCTTTTCGGCAGATAAAACATAAATGTACTGACAAATGTGAAAATTTTAAACATAGCACTTACTAAAAATCTCTTGCAAAGAACTAGTAATAAGAGTACTATTCTATATCATCCTTTGGCATTGTTTTGGTCTCAAGCATGAAGTCAGGATCAATCTTCCTGTGCGGAACCTTCTAAATGCCAAGAAAAAATGGTTGTAGAATTTTTCAGTCTTACTGACTAACTGAACATCATCATTGCTCTAAAATAAATTATTCCACGTATCATACATGTTTGTCCACTGTAGATTCGCTGTGTTTCCGTCCTCCTCTTGTGTGCATGTTCAAAGTGTATCAGTCTAAGTTGTTGTTTGCCTGTGTAAGGCTCTGTGTTGTTCCATCATTCAGCAGCCTAGACATCACCCCCTAGACTTTAGAAATTGCAGTAGTCATCAATGTGGGTTTCATAAGCTACTAATTTGATCTCAAAAAAAATTAAAAGTTGGTGGCAAATCGACAATAGTCAAACATTTTACTGGGATACGAAAGTTTTTTTGCAAGCTTGTAACTGTCAGGATGAGATTTCTCAGCACTGTACACACATTCTTCTCTAGAATGATCACAAAAGGTTATGAGATTTAACACAGAGATATCAATAATTAGGAATGCTGGTTTTACTCGGATAGGTCAATACTAGATATTTTTCTTGTATTCTATTGAAGTGAAACTGTTCTGTAATTATCATATACCACGCAGGGTGATTTTATAATGATCTGTGAATTGATCTTTATCTTTTAGGTATCTGCACTTTATTTCATTGATTTTTGTGAAAAAAGCACTGGGAAATATAGATAATAAAATCAAGTACATGCAGATTACTCACTGCATGGTAATTAGAGTATCAGTACAGTTTTAAGCTACAACCAAATAAGGTCAGCCAGATGTGCAATATGATTCCTGAGCCAAGTTGGATGGTCCTTATGTCTACTAACGTTGTGTGGTAACATCTGTTAAAAGTGTATACACTGTGGAGTAGATCAATTAACTGCATTTATATTTCAATGGTTGTTTACACACAATGATAAGTTTTTGATTTTGGCAATTCTGCTCGAAATATTACCAAAAACAAAACATGATCACTGTGTGTAAACAATCATCTAAATATAATCGTAATTAATTGTATGGCAGTTATTAAGAATATTTAACCAGCAGGTATGTCTAAATCCAGGTGTGATGATTGCTGATGCTTATTGAAAAACGTCTCATTCACAGCTTCTGGAAAACAAATTGTCCTAGAGATTGAAATCCAAATCATTTAGTTTAGAGGTCAGAGTTTCTACTATTAACCTATTAAAATATGTTATATATGTCCAAACCAAGTTCACTTTTAACAGTTTGAAAGAATTTAACCATTGGATATATGATAAAGGTTTTTTGTATTTCCTTGGTTTTGTTATTTTTACCAATTGGCCAACATGACAACGCAAAAATGCCCTCATGCTGATGAAAGATGATTAAATTGTTATATTTAAGCTTAGATTTTGTAAATTCTGGTTTAATAATACCTTGATAAAACTATTAGCATTAAATAGAGAAATATAAGTAAAAACAATATCACTTTGTTTTTCGTTCATTGGGAAATACAAAAAAACCTTTATTATAATAACTATTAAAGTATGACATCTAATCTCATTGTTTATGCTGGGATTGTAACTCTTCAAGAAACCTAGCTCCATGACCAATATGATGATAATTTAGTCTTTCTGAATGGTTTCCGACCATTTAGATAAGACTGATGTAACTATAAGAAATGCGGCAGTAGCACTGTAACCTTCGTCGATTCTTAATGGTGTATTTCCAGTATTGTATGTTTTAGATTCTCAAGTGACAGAATTGACTGCTTCACTGTTAAATATCGACCGAAACACCTGTCCAAATACAACTACATTTACATTTCTAACACTTATGTTGCACCTAGATGTAGTCTGTCAAAACTGTCTTCATTTGCTGATGAATTCACTTCCTTTACTGCCACCTCCGTTGGTAACTCCTTTCTGGTTACTGCAGACTTCACTTCTTGTGACTACAGTTTCCTTACATCGTTAGGTCATGAAAGTATTGTAAACTTCTCAACACGACTAGAAAATACTCTTGATCTAATGTTTACAAATGATTTCGGCATATTTGAAACTCGAAAAAGAGCCCTACTACTTAATTCGGATCATTGTATAAAATTGTCCAGAATATATGGAAAGCTGAACAAAGAGCCTTCTTGAATACTGGCAAGAAAACACGACATAGACGTTACTCTCACGACAATACACAGAATCTAAGGAGCATGTTAAAGTATACAAACCGGGACTTATTTACTGAACAAGTTCTAGATAATACAATCACAAACGTAATATCCTATCTCAAGTTCTGTCTTGCTGTTTGTTGTCCAAAAAGGACACTCTTCTTAAGAAAGGTTATACAAAGTGAAAGACTTTCCTGATGTTAGTAGACTGAACGTCTTAATTAAATCAGAACTACAGAGATTAAATACGGTCTATAACCAAAAGTGCTTATCATGCAAAATCTCATCAAATATGTGGAAACTATTTAAATTTATCACCGGGGGTAAGCAAATAACTAATGATCCTTCTTCGGTTGATGCTGATACTCCTAATAAGTCTTCCATATGGCGTCTGGCTGATGTTATGATCTCAAATGGTACAAGTGAAAATAATGGCAGCTTCTCAGATTTTAACTCAAACGATGTCCTCAAGTGTCTCAAATCCCTGAAACCTACCCACTCCCCTGGTCCAGATGGTGTACCAGCCATTAACCTCAATAAATGTGCTCACATTTTATTTCATCCTCTCAGTGGTATTTTCGATGAATTATTTTCTAGAAACACTGTACCTACTTCTTGGCAGGACATTAAAATTGTTCCTGTGCTTAAATCATCAAGTGGACAAACTGTTAAGTTCATAGCTATTACCATTACCTCACCTTTTTTAAAACAATGAAAAACATCTTTTACTTAACCCTGAAACTTCACTGAAGGCTTTTAACGACCCTAATCAATTCGCTCATAAACATGGTAGGTGTACTTTAGATACCACTGTTGTCTCACATCATAATACTGTCTCTAATTCAGACAGAGGCACCAAATATGTTCGGTGTACCTTCCTAGATCACACATCTGCTTTTGACTATGTACATAGGCCTCTTTTGTTAAACAAGCTTGCTGTGACACAAGCAGAGTGCTGGACTAATAAGTGGTCGCATTCTCACTTTTCTGATAGGAAGCAGTGTACCGGATTGCTTAAAAAGGACTATGTCATACTTCGTAGAACTCTGAAGACTGTCAGTAGGACGAGTGGTATCCCATTGGGCCATATTGGCATTGTCACCGATAGGCATTTGATGTCATGCAACAGATTCGCTAGAGGAATTTTGTCAGACTCCGAGCACCCACTCTACCCGCAGTTCCAACCTTGTGTCTCCTCAGGTAAAAGAAGAAGTCTTTTCAGAAGACTTTATGCACGTACGTCTAAGTATAAA